AGAAAAGCAATAAACGTCTCTCTGTTTATTGCTCAGTTTGAGTTCCTACATGCATTGAAGCACAGTCTTTAAAATTAAGCAGGTTTGTTTTTTCTGTTGTGAAAGTCCCAACTTATTTTCTTTTTGTTTTTTCTTCTTTCTCATTCCCCAACCAGAGTCAGGCCATGCGCATCGTCCGGACAGTTGGCCAGGCGTTTGAGGTTTGTCATAAACTGAGTCTACAGCATACACAGCAAAATGCAGATGGAAAGGCGGACTGCAACGGTGAAAAAAATGGTGGCGATTCCTCTGGTACAAACACACAACACACACAACACACACATTCAAAGGTCAATTTGCATCACTTGCACAGCTACTCATTGTGTTTTTTAATGCTGCTTTGACTTTTTTATTACCTGCTTCAAGGTATAAAGAAGCGGTGATTCTGCCTGTTCAGTTGTTTCTCATAAAAAATAAAGGAGGTACAAAAGAGCTACAGAGTTCAGGGTTAGTGCTGCTTTAATCAAAGTTGTTGAAAGGCGTACATGCAATTGCAGAAGCACCTTGAAGTAAAGTCATGGTAAGAATGAGAGACATCTCATGTTTCTCAAGTCTGTCATACAAAGACTAGTATGTTGTCATTTTCTCCAAACCTAGTAAACATTTGTTATAAAAATTAAAGCCTGACATTTTAGACTGTAACATGAGTAAATTACATCTAATCTAGTGTTAACAGCATTCTAAGACAGAAATGGTAAATGTCATTGTTGCACCTTAACCTTGAGGAGGAAACAAGCTGGCTGAGGTCATCAGCTCATTTGGGATATGAGCCGGTCAGAAGCTCTGGCACCAGCTAGTCTATTTATCCGTACCATTCATCACTTCCGATAAGAACTTCTGACCCTGAGCACCCTGCCTCGGTATAAAGTGGCTCTGTTTCTATCATGTCTTTTCCTCTTCATCAAAGGTCTGACAGTGCAAGAGATGCTGCCCTAAAAACATAGACATTTTCAGGAGGAAGGGAGTTTCTTCTCTCATTGTAGTATAAAAACTCAGGCTAACCTTTCTTTTTCGTGGGTGACTGGTATTAATTGTTCCTCACAGGAGCACAAGTTAAACTGACTTACAGTTTGCAAAAAATACTACAGTATATAGCATGAAACTATCAAGATTCTATGGCTATAGTTTGTATATAGACAGTGTGTAACACTGTGTGACACGGCCACAGCGTAAGCAGAGAACTTTTCAGTCAGACCACTTGACTCATAAAAAACAATCAAAATCGAACGCTCATTATCACATTTTTCTACTTTCGTTTTTTGCACAAAATCAGTCAAAGGTTTGCTGTCCCATTTTTCATTTCTGTTTAAACAGCAAAAAACGGAAAAGCAAGTGCTTTTTTTGTTTGTTTCAAACGGAAAAACGAACTGCCTGAATATACATGGACCCATTTGCTTGCAACAGTATACAGTTAATTCTCTGCACAATTCAGATTTTTTTTCTAAACTCCACACCAACTTTTTCATTTATTCCCAGAGTAAAAGTAACTCATCTAAAATCAGTCTTACTTTTATGCTGCAGTTGCATCAAATAATCCAAGATTCAAAGGTGAAGTGTATTTCTCAGAGTAATATTTCAGAGGGTCTGCTTTTTGAATTAGCTTTCTGAAGATGTTGAAACAAGCCTACCTGCTCTAGTCAGTGATCAGAGGCAGCTCAGTCTGGATAAACAGAGATTGGTTTTGACGGAAGAGTCAAACTAACAGCTTGTCTGAGGGGGGAGCAGTTCAATAATGTATGTATGCCTCTTTAAAACAATTCAAATTTCAAAATCTTTCACAGTTTCCAATGCAGTTTCCTAAGTCTACGCCACAAAAACTTTTTTCAGTAGACATTTACTTACATAGAAGTCTGTGTGTATTTACCCTAGAGACCATGTTAGTCTGCTCTACCTCGACGTCTAATGATTCCAAAGACCCACACTTCCCCTCTTCCTTTTTAAGGCTCTAGTTCTAGTCGGTGTTCTTGTCTGGTCTTGGCTTGCAAAACCAATGTTCAGAACACTTTGAGTATATTAACCAGGAGTTATTGTACTCTCTCAGCAGTTCTTTGTAATGTGACTATTACACAAACTGATACTGTAATGATGATGAGGAGGATAACGATGATGACATATCTATGATATGTTATGGAGCCACTATATGATTGTATTGTGTTTGATTAAACTGATTGTTAATAAATTTAGACTAAATTTGTATAGCAAAAATGGATTGGATGCACTTATGTTGTAAAGTTGATGAGATGAAATTAGTTGTGGATTTGTGCTGGAAAAGTAAAGTGAATTTAGTTACTTAAATTATCATGACTAATTTTAGCACTTTGCTATTTGCTTAGAGGCAGGAACCAGCAACTCATCATTTTCCAGTGTATTCTTCATCTCCACAGCTAAGCAGGTTTGCCATTCTGGCCTGCCTCTGGTGGTCATGTGACATATTTTTAAATCTGAAAAGAAGTTGTCTTTTGTTTGGCCAGATATGTCTCAGTGCTTTACTAGCTTCTTGATTTCTTCAGAACACCAACTCATTTGTTTGACTAATGATTGTGTACCCCCATGTTGCTATCAGCCCAGAGAAAACAATGTGCATTATAATCTGGATCTATATGCTTTGATGCTGACATAGAAGTATCTAATCGTGACATACAGAGGAGGGTAACACTGGGGTCAATGTTACAAATTATTTTACTGTACAATAATACTGATGGGCTGAGTTCTCCTTATCTGCTGCTGACTTCCTGGACATGACGGGCTTTCCCTGGAGCCCTGCGGCATGCGGCTCTGAATGAGTTCTGAGAGAACGGACATGGAGATTTAGCAGAAGAAAAAGTCCACAAACTCTTTAACCGCAGCCGTTCCAGTTATTATAGAGCAGAGTCCCAATGTGTTATCTTCAGAACCCCAAACCCGCCGGAGGGAAGCTCATATTTCACATGCTGATGAGCCCAGAGATCACCCACTGGTTTTGATTGTACATCCACACAGATGTAAGAGGACCCCACATGCATACAGAGAGAGTCCTTTTACATATGCTCTCTCTCACACTGGCGGACTGGGTGCGTGAAATAGCACAAGAGCCGTCGTGCACAGCTAGTGAGCTTATCTGGAGAACTAATTATCTCAGCAATAAAAGGAGAGGGGATAGAAAAGTGGAAGATGGCGGATTAGAGAATTTAAAAAAAGGGGAGCGAGCAGAAGAGGAAGACGAAATGCATTTTGCAAGGAACTGGGCCTGGGTAAAAAGAGAAGAAATGTAAAAGTTGATTAAAGAGAAGAGGGGATGGAAAACTGGGTTGAGCAGCAGGGAGCGGTGGAGAAAGTAGATTAAATTTCATTGTCAGAGGAAGCATTCGAGAACAATAGCACAGACAGAATCCCGGCTAACAATACAGTCTTATTTAACTTTTCAAAGAAAAGAACACAAAATTGGAAATGCTAAACATTGCCATCAGTATTAATGAAAATTGATATCCTATTTTTTGTAATACTTGACATTGTAATTTTTGCTTTGAGAATAAGACATTTAATTAAAGTCTTAAAACTCAATTATGAGAATGAAGAAAGACAATATATTAGCTCTACGACAAGAATGTGATATTACACCCCACTTAAGTAGTTCTAAGCCAAAAGTCATTTTGTAGTGTTAACTTTTTTCTTTATTACTGTACACTCCATTCTTTTTTCTTTTATTTCTTTTCACTAAGGCAGTCCCATTTCTTAATTTGTGCTGAAACTGGATTCAATTCTTGACTGGTTGTTTAAAAGAACAAGTTTGGTTTTCTCCAACTGGAGGGCCAGCTTAGTGGCATGTCCTTACAGCACTATAAATAATATGAATGTGTGACTTCCCATCTACTCCTAATTATTTAATCCTAAAATAAATTGTTCTTAAATCCTGTAGAGAATCAAGGTGTTTATACGCTTGTGTCATGTTAAAGTCCCAACTACGCTGTGGAAAGAGTACTACACTCCACTAGATGCATATTTAAAATATATATTTGCATTTATGTAAATTACCTTTCCTTTCGCACATTACCATCTTCAGCTTTCAATTGAGTTGGGATAGAAAAGGTCACAGGACAATGTGGGGCAGTTGTGGGGAAAGTGCACAAAATTGCCTACATTATTGTTCAATTCCATGCAATTCATTCACAGATAACAAATGTTGCTTGTAACAACTGTAAAAGACAAACAAATCAAATTCATATACATAAATATATAGTGTCAGTTCAATACAGTAATATGGACAGATTCTAAGTCAAATACATATATTCCGATTTGGTCATAGTTATTAGACAAAGGAGTCAAATTTAGTTCATTGGTTGAAGTTTTGACTTTGCAGCAATTCCTCCTCCTGAGCATTTATGCAGGGCCAGTGGAGAGTCAAATAACAATTCTGTATTACTTTATGAAGTATCAACACTCATATCTGTATTAACTTTTCGTCAGCGAGCTTTGAATAAATAACTATTTCTCCAAATAACACCTAAAATAAGTTCTTCTGTCAATGTAATGAATGTGTTGGTGGACTAGAGGCAAAATTGAGCCGGAAAATTCAGACAACAGCAGGCAATCATGTCAGCAACAGATAGCACAGAGACAGGCAGCAGAGCGCAACACTGATAGCAGGGTTGATGAAAAAAGAGAGGGGGTCGGGGTGGGATAATGGAGAAAGAGAAGAGCGTAGCTGGGAGCAGGTTATCAAGAATGAAATGATTTTGAGGGAAGTCTGTAGCTGCTTGTCAAATTGTTGGAAATTAGGTTTAAGTAGAGGGGGAGGACTGAAGTGGTCATTTTAAAAAGGAAGTAGAGGATCAGTGGGAAAGGAGGAGGGTGAAAATAGTGGATGGTTATTGGAGCTGGAGGAAAAGACATAAATGTGGATCGGAGAGCTAAACACAAACTCCACTACATGATCAAGTTTAAGCTATTTAAAAAATAACTTGCACTGTATTTGCCTGGATTATTGAAAAGAAGGAAACTAAACAAATCAGAAATTTTCTGAAAACAGTGTTGCTGCTGATAAAGCCGCTTCTCACTCCAAATCACCCACTTTTTTTTGCTTTGATGAAACTATGTGAGAGTTTAAAAAAAATAATAAAAAAAATGTCAGTGTGCCATGACCGAGCCACCTAGAAAGATGTTAGCTGAAGTTAGGGTCAGGAACATCAAGCTGGGTTGACATCTATACTCTTGGGATGATCTCCATTATTGAAATTAAAATATTTTTTTTAGAAATCATTTATTTCAGTACATTTTGATATTTTATTTGTTACTAGAGTTAAATCATTAGTTTTCACACTACAAAATTAATGTCATGTTCATTGAGGTTGTTTGTGGTTTATTGACTCATGCACAATATTTCCTCTTCAACCATTGATTGTTAGTGTTGCTAACATTTATTTTAGAAGCATGCATGTTTTGAAGTAATGGACCTAAAGCTCAGTTTGAGAGACAACTGCAAATCAAACAGCAAATAGACTAACAAATACATCATAGGTTTATGAAATTATTGTTTTTTTATGGTTTTGTAAGATGGAACTTTGAAAGCACAAGGTGCTAATTTTAATTTTGGGGACGTCACACTGAACTTAACAAATTCTCCAATGTATTGTTTGAAAGAGGACTATTGTATCATTGTGGTAAAGCTGCCTAAAACAGAATAACTTTTACAGTACAAAGTACAATCCAGCTTCAGTCTTTGCAACCAGTCAAGGATCAAAAAATATGAGTAGTATTCTCAGTTGTGGAAACAAATGAAAGGAGACATAAAGAATCTGGATTGTTGTCATTTAAAACATTGCTTATGGAGATTTACATTGATGTGGTGGGATGAGTGTACGCAGCAGTTTCTAAGATACTCCAATTCTGGAAAACTTTTGTTAGACTCTTCACTTTCAGTATGTGTTTGTTCCAGTATCAATGATGTTTCTTACTAGCATTTATGTGTGTGTACCCATGTGTGCGTGTGTTTACATGCTCATGCCTCCATGTGTGTGTGTAGGCGTGCGTGCTTATCCACCTGTATGTGTGTGTACTTTCCTCGGCCCAGCTCGCGAGCTAACAGGTGCAGAGAAGGCTCCAGCGAGTGTCGCGGAGGAAACGGATATTGATGCCGAAGACGTGGTCCAGGTGCCGACGGCCGAGGACCTGAACCTCAACAGAGGAGTGACAGATCTCGATGCCACTGCCAAGACACCTGACTTAACCCAGTCAGAAAATAAGGTAAATCACACCTGCAGATGTTCAATTGGGGATAATGTGCCTCAGGGCAGATGCAGTTGCCACAAAATCACACAGTGTGTTTACATAGGGAGTCAGTTTTTTGATAAAAAGAAACTTAAAGTTGTAAAAGTTGTTTAAAAAAAAAGAGATAATTTTCTCTAAATTTATTATACAGATATTTTATGCATGTCCAGATTACAAGTAGATGTTGTTAAAGTTTTTTTCAAATGCCACACATGATACTGAAAATGGCATAGTTTCAGAAGTTGAAACCTTGACAAAAAACAGTATTTTTTGCCAAGGTTTCAGCCTTTTATCTGCTGTTATGATATAAGGTTGAGGAAATTGAAAGAAGACTTATTCTTGTGGGCAAAAAGCTCAAGCTCCGCCTCCTCTGGCCATGAAGGTCTGGATTTTTGGCAGATGGACTCTGGCACATTTTCTAAGGGAACAACTGAACTCTGTTCCTTAAACTAACAAATTAATTTTCCTTCAATTGTGTCACAATCTAAACAGAAATAAACACGCTTTTCAAAAGCATAAGGCTTTTCGCAAGGAAATGGTGTTACCAAAAAAATGCAAAATTATTTACTGAATGCTAAGTTATTTGCTTATCATACTAGGATCTAAGGAGAACTGGTTTTACAATTGATATATCAGATTAGATACATTTTACAAAAGCCCTAAGCACAACCATATTTTTAGGCAATGCCCGAAAGCCAAGAAAATATCCACCACAAATAAACTCAGCAAGTTCTGCAATAAAAACTGTTTAAAAAGTCCAGCCAGAAATCTGTTAATGTCTACACAAAGTATTGGCTTGAGAGACAACATGCTATGGGATGTTTAACCAAATATTAGTGCGGGTGTATGTCACAGCTGCAGGCATCCGTTTTAATGAGGCTTTCCAGCCTTGCATCACCAAATGCAATGCAATGCAAAGCTTAGGATGCAGTGGCGCAAAGCATCACTGCACTTGAGGGCATTGAAGGCATGTTTTCTAGAGTGATGAATCATGTCTCACTGCCTGACAATTCTTGATTTAGCTGTTGGCAGGATAACAGGATTTCATGACAGCATTTTGTCAAGTTAAAAGTTTGGTGTAGAGGGGATGCAGCTCAGGAATCTGGCTAAGTCCTGCAATTGCAGAAAGAGCAAACTTGTAAATGTGCTGTTCTTAACTCCATGGAAACAGTCAGGGGATGGACACTCCTTGTTACATTATAAACGCACATAAAGATACAAATGACTGATTTTTGGTGTAGAAAAACCTTACTTACCTGGACAGAGTCCTGAATTCAGCTTGATAGAACATGTTTGGAATAAATTAGAATGGAAAATGTGAGCCAAGCTGTTTCGTTCATTCTTGCAAATCTACTTTTACAAGAAATAATCAACATTGGGAGATGCCTTCCCAGAAGAACTGAAGCATTAACATTTGGATATAACCCGAGCTCATACGTTAACTAAAATGAAAGAATGCTTATGACAATATTGCACATTTCTGAAAAACAACAGCTACACCAACAGGAGTTTCAAAGAAGACACAGCCCATTACTTCTCAGCAGCACAGCAACCCACTTTAAGTATTTTGGATGAGCAGTTTTTATGAAATGGGAAAGAAACTTAATCTGCAGATTCCTACGCTGATTGGTGATAAGACGATACATGCCTGTAATAAACTACAGTTTAATCCAGTTAAAGCCATGTCTGTGTATGTGTGTGGCACGTCTGCAGAAATAGCTCTCACTTTTCAGCGGCTATCTGCAGCGTGTTGGCATCTAAGCCAAGAAAAGTAATCCAGTGCGTGTGTTTGCATTTGTGTTGCCGCGTGGTGTAAGAGATTTGATACAGCTCCGTCAGACTGTCTGCTCTCAGACCTTTGGGAGCTCTCCACAGGCTTCTATTTAAAACTAGGAAAATGTGTTGTGCACTGTCGGGTGGTTTATAAACACAACTGTGTGGTTCAGTTGGCAAAGCAGCATAGTAACTTTTGTTTACTTGGTTTGTTTACTACTGTAGTTCAGCAGTAGGGATTTGTGTTTTTGATCAAGGTGGGAGTGGGAAGACAGCAATGCGTGATGAATATATTATGCTACTCTATGCCTTGAGAATTTTGCACCAGTTCACTATAAGAGGACTGTCTGTGCTTCATTTGTTTTCCTGACTTTAGCTGGAAAAAATATATACATACATTTGGGAAATTGGTGTTTGTGTCATTGCAGGTTTTTTTTAATCCTAAAATATTTATTTGAAATATAAATCATCAAAAAATACAAATATGCAAATAAGAAAAGTGATTTTGCAGGCTGAGCATGTTAATTTCATGACCTAATTGATCTGTGTGCAGATGATCACCTTTCAGCTATACAAGATAGCCGGAGCTAAAATGGAATGGTTTAAATGAAAGGCAAAGCTCATACCTAAGCCCAGTTGAGAATCACTGTGACTGAGTTTAAGGTCATTTGCAAAGAAGTGGCAAAACTGTCAGCCTCCAGATGTGCTGAGCTGGTTGGACTTGCCCCATGTTTGCTGCTGTAATTGCAGTGAAAGCTTTTTCTGCAAAGCATTGACAGATATCAGTAACTGACTTTGTGATATTTATTGTTCTCCTTGTGTTTTTATGTTTCTGCTGTACAGTACTTTGCCTGGCCATGTCTTGTTCTTAAAGGGCTATATAAATACAGTATGGTAATATATTGATTCAGGGGAGCTGTTAAGTTTTAAGTCGGGTTATTTTTATTCCACTTCATGCTATGCACTAGGTATGGCAAGTAGTACATTAATATTCTCTGTGGAATATTAATGAATAACAGAAGAAAATGTAAATAAAAGTTTCAGGTGATATGAATACTTTTATGTACTACTGTACATGTTTTTTTTCTAAATGGAAGAGTTTCAGAAGAAAAAATCAGAACCTAATTTGAATCCCAACTCACTCTCAACACAAATCTCTTCAGGTGTTTATCAACCTCTGATAATAACTCTACTGTAATGAGACTTTTGTCCTTATAGCTCTTGATTAAAAGCAACGTGCCGTGAAATCTCTAAAATGAGCCCTCTGCACTGACGTGCACTCTCAGGTCACCACTGGAGTCACGTGTCTGTATGTGATGCTTTGTCTTGCGCCTGTACATGCACCATATGTAGGGTTTCAGATTTATTTTCTTTAATACATTGTCACCTTGACCGATTAAATAGAAATAAGCCAGGGCGAGTGGAGAAATGTATTTGTGAATAAGACGTGGGTGCTTGCACGTATGCTGTGCCTTTGCATTAGCAGCCATTTGTATGCGTTTTCAGCTGTGAGGAGAGGGATTCGATTCACTGCAGGGGCTCTGTGGAAGCTCATGAAAGGGAAAGCAGCCTGCGAGTGTTAAAGTTCATTCTCTTCCTGTCAGCTCCCATTAGACTGACAAATCCCTCAGCGGCCCACGTTCAAACAGTCCCAGGGGACTTGGAGAGCGCACATCAGTCCTACCTTTCACGTCCTGTCCATAGATTGAGTCAAGGTGTTTTTATTTTTTTTCCGATGTGATCAGCTTTGGGATCAGGAACAGTATGACTTCAAGACAATTTTGAAAGCCAAAAGTCAAAGATTAGAGATAGTTTACACATTACACCTTTTTATTCTGGCAAGAGACACATGCTTATTGATTACTTTAATAAGTGAGCACTGTGCAGACACAAAAAAAACCCCACCACATTACACAAAATGTTAACCTAATTTTGAAGCAGAAACAATTTTGTAATCCCTGACATGTTACCAACAAAATAAAACAACATAATCGTTTCTGGTCAAATCCCACATTGCCACTAATCTCTATAACTGTGCCCTATCTCTCCACCTTACAATTTAAATGAATGTCCACATTTTGGGGGGGATTAAGGTAAGGGTCAAGTAGGTCAAATACCTGCGACCCCCACCTTTAACTCCTTCAGAGTAGCTGGGAGCAATTAGCATACACCTGGTGGAGCTGCGCATCTGTTGAGCTCATTATACGAGCTACTTCTCAGTGCAACACTTTAACAAAACATTGTTAAAGGGTTAATAGATGTGCAATGATTTTATGAAGGCCTACTGTTGGGAAGAGCAGGACTTTTTGACAGAGGCCCAATTTCAAGGCATTAGATTGGGAAGTCAAATTTCTTGTAAGTCACATTTGACATAACAACTGAAGGTAACATTGTTGATTGTACTATACAATGATTTTACGGGGCTGGAAAACGCATAAAACTGCCCCTTTAAATTGAAAATCACTCACACTTGATACACATTTGGTTTATCAAGAGAGTGTCCTGCTTTTAAGGTGAATACTGTTACTTCTGCCATGATGTCTCACAAATAAGGACCAAGTGGTCACCCAGGATCTTGGGATACCTTTAGGGAATAGCAATGTACCTTGAATGAAAGCGGCTGTTTGCCTTCAGTGTGACTGAGAAAACAGAAGGCAAGTGTTCTTGCATTTAAAGTGAGACTGTACAACAAAAGCCTTTGCAAGGTTTTGCCTCTGGCCCATTTTAAGCTTCTGTCAGGCAGGTGTAAGCTCTCTGATCTACGAGTGTAGTGCTACAGGCTGGCAGCCCCCGACTCACAGCACCCTTTCCTCGTCTTTTCCTCCCATCCCATCATTAGTGTGCCTTGATGGATTTAGACCTACCATCAGCAAGATTAATGAACAAGCGTTCCCCTGCAAAAGCTCGTAAACCTCTGTCAGCGTTTGATTTGACCGGTTTTAATACTTGTTGGAAAGTCAGAGGTTTTAGGTGATAGTACAGATTAATATAGCGACTTTAAATTAATGCAGTCATCTTGGTGCTGTGGTGAACATTGCTGAAAAATGCAACTTTGCTTTGGCTTTGGCATCTTTTTAAATACACAGAGGCCAGGTACTACGGCCTGGGGGCACACCCAGGTTACGCTGTAAAGATCATGCTTCAGGGCAGGTTTGGAAACGTATCAAAGTCCCTGTAAATGGCTGGAGGAGTTGGCTGAGGAG